TAGAAGGAAAAATCAATGTAATAAAACATATTTTTCTAAAGCATCGGAATACATTTCGGGTGAACCGGGGGAAAAATAAAAAGCTGTGTGAACCTTCATGAGTCATCAAAAGTTGGCGACTCACGAAGCATGAAGTTGCCTACATGAACTGACGAATAGTGGATTTATTCATCAATTTGTGGGGGTTACTTTAAAAAAAAGGCAGGCTAAGGGAATCCAGCCTGCCCTTTGCAAAGATGGGGTTGCAGTTTCCCTACCCTAAATGAAGCCATAGCTGCCATCTTTGCAAAGGGCAGCTAGTTTCCCTTTCTACAGCTGGGAAGGCCTGATGAAGACCTTGGCAGCAGTGGCGATGATTGTGGTAAGGGTGTGATGGTGGGAGGGCAGGGGCTAAGGTAGGATGAGGAAAGGGGTGGGGGCTAGACTGTGGGGGTGGATGCTGTCTATTGGCCACCCATTCGCTGATTGGTGGGCCTGTAGGCAGAATGGAAAAGACATAGGATGGCTTTTTAAAAAAAAAAATCTATGGGGATCAATAAAAATGGGGAAACATTTGTTGATCCCTATTTGTCGGGACTGAAAATTTGATGAATATGGCTCGATGAATATTTGACGAATCAGCTATATTCGCTGAAAAAACTGATCTGTTTTTATATTTGTCCCTATCTCTAGTTATTATCTTTATCTACTCCATTCTTTCTTCATTTGTAGGCAAAAGGTATAGATAATTATTAGGAAACTAAACATTTGCATGCATGGTATGCTTAGCATGTTAAGTGGCCTTACCATGATACTAAAATTTCTGTAGAATTTCAGTAGAGCTGCAAATAGAACTACTATCACTTTGCATTTCTCCGTCCTCAGAGAAAAATGAAAGTATTCAAAGTGTCTAAAACAGAGTCCTGGTCATGTTAACTTGATCTACATTTGTCCTTTTAAATCTGCATAGGATTACTGCTTTTTATGAAGAGCAGCTTGGAAAAATTCTGAGAATGCATTATTAGTTGATGTCATGGATGGTTTGTCCACTTCCCCTGCTTGAACATTTTTATCATAAAATATTGCTTCTCTTCAGTACTCTGTATATGGTTCGCCTTTATTCATAGCAATGATGGCTTATATAGAATAATGCTTAATATAAAATTTCAAAATGCTGATTCTATTCATTTGTGTAGAATGAAGAGCCAGTATTTTCTAGAGATGGCAATAAATTTTTTATGACAGTTCCTGTAAAGCAAGGTGGCCGTGGTGAATTCCATCATATTGCTATGTTTGATGTCCAGGTGAGTTTCTTTTAATAAAGTTTATTATTTATATGCCGCCTTTCTCCCCATAGGGGAACCAAACCGACTCACAATAAATAAAAAAGCATACAATAATAACACATTAAAAATTCCTTTCAAACTATGTATTAAAAATCAGTTAAACACTGGTTGGGATTTAAAGCAATTTTGTGAACATTTTTTTAAAACATTCAATATTCTGAGATACTGTATTTTTTGCTCCATAAGACACACCGGACCTTAAGACTCACATAATTTTTAGAGGAGGAAAACAGGGAAAATATATTCTGAACCAAATAGTGTAATAAAATATTTAATAAACTATAACAGAATAACATTTGAACCATGTAAAGTGAACAGCAGTCAACAGTGGCATTAAGAACCATTACCACTGTCATTAATAAATGGAGAGACTTAAAACTTTGTGTACTCTAGTTTATGTACCATAAATTTGTGTACCATGAATTTAATTCAAGTACATATAGACCATTATCAGCCAGTGATTAGACCTATACCACGCTACCTATATTTTACATTT